AACATGCTGGTGATTGACATCGTTTGACAGCAGCCGACACCGGAGCACTGACTGGGTTCCTGAGACTGTCCGGAGACAGATGAGCAGCAGATCAGGGGGAGCCGCAGGTAGGACTGGTGCAGGTCCCCAGCAATCTGATGAAAAGGATTACTGAGTCTGACAGAAAGGACTTGGTCTGATGGAAAGGACTGCTGAAATCTCACCCGTGACTACTATGGGAGAACAGGGAGCAAAAGGTGTGATGACCCCGATTTGGATGCCTATGAAGGGCAGCAAAGGGAAGCCAAAAGAGAATAYTGGAAAAARGGATGATGACCCCAACTTAACTATATACTCCCTTGGGGAGACTGTTGAGGGTTTGGGATAACCTATGCATTCCTGCAGAACTAATCAAGGAAATAATGATAARATATGGTTCTTTTGTTTGGCCAGAATATAAGTTACCAGGGGGATTTAGGTGGTCCTCTACAGGGTCGCATGATGATCCTAGGCTTTGTCAGGTTTTGTGCCTGTATCTCAGTGATACTGAAAAGGGTCTCATGGAGAAAGAATGTGTGTCAATATGGTTAAGGGCAACATCTAGAGGAATCTATGTAACAGGCAGAGAGGAGAAAAGGGACAATGGAGGTCTGAGGAAGGGGGAAGGAGAACAGGTGGGGAGGTGTGGGACGTCCTCCAGTGCCTGCTCCCTTCCTGTCATCAAGACTCATCACGGAAGCCACAGATCCTGCCCTCTCTGCACCTCCTGCTTCTGGCAACAGTGAGGAGGAGGAACGGGACATTTTRTCCCCTTTGGAAACAAGAAAGGGGAGCCCAGTATGAGGGCTCAAAAGCTCCCAAAGTTCAGACAAAAATTCTGCAAATGTCTCTATGGCAGGTTCCACTGAGAGGTCAGGATGTGGGAGGTAGTTTGGATTTGTGGTTGTGCTCCTGACCACCCAAAATATAGGGGGATTAAAGAAAGAACCGTTCCTTTATTTAGATGATCCTATAGTGGTGGGGGAAAAGATAGATGAATATCTAAGAAATGCAGATGTGGGTAATAAATGTGAGATGTACAATTTTCTTTTTGTCCCAAACAAYTGATTGCAATCTGCTGTGAAGGGATTTAATTGCTAAATTGGGACTGCAATATTGTAAGGGATGATAAAGCTAACACTATTGTAAATCTGCGCAAAATGTCTGATAAATATTATGCACAAGTGAACTCAGAAGTGTGGGCAGTTCCAGGAAAATATGGAAAAGMAGACATGGAGCCTCTTCAAATTACTTTTAAGCAACCAGGCCAGGTAGTCTCTAAAAAGCAGTATCTGATTTCRGGGGAGGGGAAGAGTTACAACCTGCTAGGATAAAACAATTGACACGGACAGTCTTCCCACAAGGATACACCAAGGCACTGGTCCTAATCAGACAAGCTTTGCAAAAAATACTGAAGGAATTTACCCCATCCCCAGGAGTCAGGTTATTGCAGAATGTGGATGACTTGCTCCTATCAAGGGAAGCAGATGGGCTGGTGGAGGAAGCCACTGTGAAGTTGCTCAATTTCTTGGGCCAAAAAGGGCTTGGGGTATCTGGAAAAAAAAGACACAAATGGTGGAAAGAAGGGTCAAATATATGGGACCTATTTGGACCAGAGGTATAGGATGCCTTGACCCAGAAAGAATTCAGGCAATTTTAGAAGTACCGTTAACCAGGTCCTAAGAGAGAGCTATGACAGTTCCTAGGGCTAACAGGATACTGCAGAGCCTGGGTTAAAGACTTTTATGCTTTAGCTAGACCATTGCATGACTTTTTAGCCCAAAGCAGCCCCAGTGTTGTGGTATGGACACGAGAAGGAGAACAAAGCTTTAGAAAATTAAAGATAAAATGACCAAGTCTCCGGCTTCAGCTCTTCCACACCCTGAGAAAGAATGTGAATTATATGTGGATAAAATATAATTGGTAGGGCCATGCCAAGGGAATTTTAGTGCAAGAGCATGGAGGCACACGAAGACCAGGAGCTTATTTTTCTAAGATGTTAGGACTCAGTGGCTAAGCGGTGGTCTTATTGTCTGCAGAATTGTGCAGCTATGGCCCTAATGGTAACTGTGACTTGAAAATTGACCATGGGAGGTTTCCTTGTTGTCAGGGTCCCACACCAGGTTAAGGCATTACTGAGAAGGCTGCTAAATGGATGAGCAGTGCTGGGTTATTACGGTATGAAACCTGTTTAATGGAGCAGGAAGACTAATAAACAAGAGGCGGGAGAAGGTTTAACCCAGCTTCTTGTCTCATTGGCCCCAAAGGAGAAGAATCAAATGAAATCCATGGCTGTATTCAGGTGGTAGATCTCCAGACYTGAGCTAGGGAAGATTTGAGAGATATTCCTTGGCCAGATGGGGACAATGTGTTTACTGATGGATCTTCATGAGTGATAGAAGGCAAACAGGCCGCGCAGGAAATGCTGTTATTAAGGGAAAGGAGCTGCTAGAAGCAGGAAAGCTGCTGTCCACCTGGTCAGCCCAAACAACAGAACTGTATTCTCTAATAAGAGCCTGTGAATTATACCATGGCCAGGTACAGGCTATAACTTCTAAGTGCCTTGGCCAACGCAGAAAAGGAGAGGGCAACCTTGGTCGGGAAATTAGGATAAAAAGGGGGCTGTGTCCTCCAGCAACTTGAGAGACCTCGCAGGGATATGCCCGGTGGACTCTCCCTTTATTCAAATACAGTTTTAGGACTCCTCCGTCTATTTTGGACATTCAGTGCTCGACAGTGGGATTTTCCACAAAGGGACAGGCCGGCCAGAGACTGCATATTATACTTTGCCTTTCATAGAATCACAGAATACTTAAGGTTGGAAGGGACCTTTAGAGGTCATCTAGTCCAACCCCCCTGCTCATGCAGGGTCACCTASAGCACGTGGCACAGGGCTGCATCCAAATSAATTTTAAAGATCTCCAGAGAAGAAGACTCCACAACCTCTCTGGKCAGCCTGTGCCAGGGCTCTGTCATCCTGTCAAGAATTTTTTCCTTAAGTTCCTGTGGAACTTCTGGTGCTTCAGTTTGTAGCTGTTTCCTCTAGTACTGTCAGAGGCCATCACAGAAAAGGAGTCGCCCCCTCCTCCTCACTGCCTCCCTTGAGGTATTTATACACACTGGTCAGGTCCCCCCTCAGCCTTCTCTTCTCCAGGCTGAACAGACCCAGCTCTCTCAGCCTTTGCTCACAGGGCAGATGTTCCAGGCCCCTGATCATCCTCGTAGCCCTGCACTGGACTCTCTCCAGCAGCTCCACACCCCTCTTGTACCGGGGAGCCCAGAACTGGACACAGCCTCCAGATGTGGCCTCACCAGGGCTTTCATGCAGCTTTGCACACTCACTTTTGTGAGATCACATCTAGGG